GCCTGTTTCCGATTCTGTGTCTCCCTCTCTCTCTGCCCCTCCCCCGTTCATGCTCTGTCTCTCTCTGTCCCAAAAATAAATGTTGAAAAAAAATAATAAAAAAAAAAAATAAATAAAAAAAAAATAAAACAGCAAAGGTGATTTCAGCTTCAAGCCTTTGCATTCACTGTTCCCTTTCACTGGAATACTCTGCCTCCTCTGACCCATTCCCCTCTTATCAGAGCTGGCTCCTCCTTTTCCTTTACTTCTTACTTGAATGTGACCCTGGCTGCCATTTTCCCCGGACACCTGGCTGAACTACGTTTTCACTGTCGTTTCCCATGCCAACCTTTTGATTGTTTCTTTATGGTCCTTATAATTTCTAAATATTTTCATTAATTTGCTTCCAATTTTTAAGTCCGTCTCCCATGTTATAAAATAAGCCCTAGAGAGGGAGGCTGGAGCCCTGTCTTGACCACTATAACTCACCTTAGTGTAGCCCAAACAAATAGGAGATCAACAATATTGTTTTAACAATAACAAAAAACATCTAGAAGGAAACACTTCAAGATGTTCTGATGGTGCAGTGATGGTTTTTTCCCCCCATTTTATTCATATGTCTGTTTTCTCTCTCTCTCTCTTTTTTTTTTTTTTTTTTTTTTTGACACAGAACATAGACGATCTATGTAGTTAAGACTAAAGTGAATGTGTGATCCAGCATGTCTGTCCTTGGTCACAACTCTCCTCTGAGAATCTGACCCCACATCTCCGGGTTGAGGGCTTCTGATCATGGGACATCCCGTTTCCCCCAGCCTCAGCAGACTGCATCAAAGTGGACATTTGACTCAAGCTGAACAAATTAAATGCTTTTCTCGTAATTGGGAAAGAAGACCTTCTCAGCAGTCTCTGTGCCCTTGCAATGAAAGGTATGCAGGGCTGCCCCTACTGGAGTCATTCTCAGTTGTGGACAGTGAGAGACACGGAGAGCAAGCCCAACAGGAGAAAGTGCATTGCCAGACAGAAGGCAGGAGGGAGGGAGGCAGAGACAGAGACAGAAGGGAGATTCCTGAAGGTTTCCAATTCCTGGTTCTAGGACTCTGGGACACTCACTTATATTTCCTGTGATTGAGACACCTGTACCTTCCAATAAATCTCCCAGTTTTTCTTTTCTTTTCTTTTCTTTTCTTTTCTTTTCTTTTCTTTTCTTTTCTTCTTTTCTTTTCTTTTCCTTTTCTTCCTTTTCCTTTTCTTTTTTCTTTCTTTCTTTTCTTTCTTTCCTTCTTTCTTTTTCTTTCTTTCCTCCGTGTACTTTACAACCACCACGTCTGTTACTTGCAACAAACAATTCTCAACTGCAACAAAGATGTACGGAAGCCAGTAATTACATTCACCCTAAAGTTTTCACAAGGTGAATGCATACTTTTCTTGACTGATTAAAATTGAAAAGCTGAGGAGAGGTGAAAGGCACACATTTCTTTTGGTTTCTCTTTCCACTTTCCACGTGTGGTCATTCACCCAGCTCTTCCATGGCCCTTTGTGAAAGCAGAGCATTATGTGAGTTACGAGTGAGGCCGCAGTTCCGTGACAGCAGTGTGCTAACAGGGTTCCATTGCCTCCACATACCTCTACACCGCATACGGGGGCGGGGGAGGGGGTGGTCCAGAGATGACATCACCACCAATTCTCCCCTCAGTGCACGAAAACATTCTGAAAGGAAGACTTCCATCTGAGTCATGTTCGGACAACCCAGGGCCACAACGTGCTAACCGGCTGGGGTGCAATCACTTGGAGACAGGGCCAGGATGAGCAGACCTTTTAAGAGGTCCCCGCAATTTCAGGCCCATTTTTAACTCCATTACAAAGGAATGTTAAGCAGCATTTAGAGGGAGTTTGGCAAAGTACCTGAAAGCACCAAACAGCTCCTTTGATGTTCTTGGCATTGATGCCATCATTCTCTTGAAACTTCTGAAGAAGTATTTTTCTTATAGCAACTGTGTCTAGGTTCAATTTAGAGTGTTGACGTGTGTCTTCTCTGGTCTAATGTCAGCCTGAGCAACCATGAACCACATAGACAGATACGCTTTTAGAGAGGACCTCAGCTTTCACTTCAGCCTGTGTTTATTTTCACATCAAAGACACATCTAAGGGGAAATTGCTTAACTAGCTCTATGAAACATGAAGAGGTTTACAGAGATATTTGGTTATAATTGAAAAAACCCAAACCCAAACCTACACTCCCGGCAATTTAAGGCTTTCATGCCCGGAAATGAGAATTTATAATGGCAGATAGAAAAACGTTCCTTTGCTTTCCATGAATGTCTGAATGCAGACTTTTTCAAGCGGGAACTCAAATCCCACTATTTGCCATACATTTATGGGAAATGATTCTTGATGATTTAAATGGCATTCACTGGGGGACAATAAAGCCTTTATATTGTTTGCAGTTTAACTACCCTTTGAAGCAATGTCCTATAGCTATCCAATGCCCTCACTTTGATCTAACTTGCTCAGCCCAGTAATTATATGACTGAGATGAATTCTTCACCTGACAGGTTCCAAAGCTTCATGTGTGGCCATATTCTTTGAAGAGGGGGAAGGAAACCTACCTAGACTGGAAAATAAAACTTGAAGCTAGTCAAAATTGTGAATCAAGGGTAATTCTCTGTGTCAAAGCAGTGGGCTGGAGGAAAGGCCTTCTTCCATATGATGAGAACCACTGTTTCCCAGTCCATGCTTACGTTCTTCTTGCAATCTTTAACTGAGAACACGCTACAGTTCCTTTCTGTGAATTTTTTTCATGATAAATCAACGTTCATCATTGTAAAAAAAAAAAATACGAGCAAAATTACTAACCTGGGCCTTGGGTATCTGCTGACTGACTGCTACGTGATGAGAAAGGACCGCCCACGCCATTATGAATGGCCACGGGATAATCAGACAAGTAAAAGAGCTCATTTTGCACCATTCCGCAAAGAAGACTGTTTACTGAGTTAAGTGTGCTGAAAATGTAAAAAGCGCAACCCTAACTCAGGCAGCTCATAATCCTCAAAAATATTACCGCTCTTTATTCCATTTGCCTTTTTGACACAATATAGGACAGATTCCAACCAAGCAAGCTCACCAACTGCAACTGTGGAAATTGCTTTTAATCTGGGGCGCCATCGAGAGTGACACCACTGGGACTTTCGCCCTCACCCCAAACATCCATTTCTTCCCTGTACCTGGCTCACAATATCTTGTATTCACTCGTTAGATTTCCGGACGATAAAATACTTCCTTATCCATGACCAGATCTCTGCATTTGTCATGTCTTCATGCATGCCATTCCAATCTCAAAATGGGTTTTTCTCTTCGACTGGTGGATTTTCTTCACTATTCTCAAATCCCAACTCAAAACCCACTCCTTCTCAGAGCCTCACTGTGATCGCTGCTCTATTGTTTTGTGCTCCTCCATGGTTTCCTTTCTTTGTGTATTTAATGCTTCTGGCTTGTAACTGTTACGATACGTTTTCAGTCCCCCCAGGCAAGATTGTGAACAATGTTACATGTCTTCTAATGCTATTTGAGGCAATATATTATTGTGAGTGTGAGCTCTGGCATCAGATGTAGGTCCTGGTTCGGTCCTCACCGAGACGGGAGGCTCTGGATGATTTACCTAATCCTACCAGCCTCAGTTTTCCTTCTCTGTATAATGGAGGTGACAGTTCCAATTCCTTAGTTGTAGTGAGTCTCAAATAAGACAATGTCTATAAAGTAGGTACTCAAAATGCAGCAAATAATGGATTAATAAATACTAGGTATTTTTATTTAGTTTCCAGGGTCCCCTCACAAGCCCCAGATGAGAATTGAGCATATAGCAGGAAAGAAAAGGTTCAAACAGCCTTCATTGAGTGCTCAATAGAAGGCATCTTACATACATTATCCCATTGAATCCCAGCTTCCCTACTTATTAGCAGTGTAACCATGGGCAAGCTACCTAACTTCTGTGCTTTGACTTTCTCTTCTGTGAAATTGATATTACAACTGCACTTACATCATAAGCTGCACCGATTAAACGAATACATGTAGAATGCTTAAAATAGTCCCAACACATAGAAAATGCCCGTAACACCAGCTTTTATTATTATTTTCAATATTAAATTCTTACAACAAACTTGAGAGTGGATACAAACAGCCTCGCTTATAGGTGAGAGAAATGAGGCCACAAAAGGTTGTCCAGCTACTCATTGAACCAGATTTGCCTGACTGTGAAAATCCAAGCCCTTTATGCAATGTATTTGCTGGAGGAAACTTCCATTTCATGCTAGGGAATTATTCCGGGGAAGCTCTATAGTGACAACTAGGTCCTCAGGGAACTGTCCATCATGGGCAAGGCTGACAGTGAAGCAGTCCCGGCAGGAGCGGGTAAGAGGTGGGGCTCAGTAAGATGTGGGACAGGGCTTCTCTGGCTCAGTCACCATGCAGAGGAATGTGGTCCTAATTTTGAAGACCATGGGTAGACATCAAAGCATTTTAAGCAAGGAAGTGACATGATCTGCAATGTATTCTAGGATTTTTTTCCTTCTATTTTTACTCTAACAACCGAATAGCTGTGGGTGGATTGGAGATAGGACAGCATAAGCCAGAAGGCCAGTGAGGATGTCTCAGCCTCAGTAAGAGACAGTGCGAACTGGGTGTGAGCGAAGGTGGTGGCAATAGAAATGGAGATCATGGGAAAGAACTTAGGAACCAGAAACCAAATGAACTTTGTGATTAATTCCATGTGAGAAAGGAGTGAGGGCCAAACACAGACTTCTAGATTCATGACTGAGTGGGTGATGGAATCATTTGCAGAGAAAAAAGAATGTAGGGGGAGGAGCATGGTTCCTGACAGGATGGTGGGGAAGCAAATGATGGGTCTGAATTTGAATATGTCGAATTTGAGATGTCGTGGGGCACGTAAGTGGAGATGTCTCATTGCCAGCCAGAGAGTCAGAGCTGCAGACCAGGAAGGAGCGCTGACCGTCTATACGGGGCGGGGAGAAAGGCACATAAGCGTTGGTGGAATGAATGTGGTTGCGAGTGTCCAAACAGTGAGGAGTGAGAAGGGAAGGGATGGGAATGGAATCCTGGGGATATCAAAATTCAAGGGGAGAGGAATAAAGTCTCTCGGGGGGGTGTGGGGGCAACCCCATCAAATGAGCAAATGCTACCTGGAACAAAGGCAGTGATCTCTCACATCTGGCATTTGATGGTGGTTGGGGGAAGACACCAAATTATAGCGTGTGCTGAGGATGGAGTGGGGAAGTGGCGAAAGGGAAATTAGGTGGGTAGATTATTTTTCCTGAATGCCAAGGTGAGAGGGAGGATAGCAGCCATAGGGAGTCTTAGGGTAGAAGGCTGTCTTATCACTTTTTGTATCCTTTACAGCAGCAAATAAAATACTTTGTATTATGTAGGTACCCGGTTAAACAATATTTGAGTGGGCGGTTCTGCCTTATTCTTTGATTTTATCTCACTCATTTCTTCCATGTTTTCTTCTCTTCTCTATCCCGGTAAGGATGCAGCGAGGCTGCCGTTCCTTATTCAAATATTACTAACTAGATGGGAGGCACGGAGTTTGCCTGCTTCTTCTAAAGTGGTTGAATCAATAATGTGTGATAGGAACTTCGGTACACGCAAAGCCAGCCGAGACCCAAGGGGAGGAAGGCCACAAGAAGCACAGGTGACATTGAGAAAGCAGCGGTGTTGCATGGGTTTCACGTCCAAATGCATACGGGTAAATGGGAAAATCTTGTTTGGGGAACGGAAAAGCCACCCCAAGAAAGACATAAAAAAGAGATGGATGGCTTTGGGCAGCTTCAAGGAGAATCCCAGTAGTGCAGATTTTCAGGAAATCTACGGATAGTAAAAGCCTATTTAAAATGTTACCCGGCTTGATCTTGATAGCCAAAGATACTTCAAAGCACTAGGATTGGGTCTAATCACTTGTTAAATTAAGGTCACATATGGGACTGCTTTTGACCAGACAGTTTCATGCTACTGAATAAGAAGGATCTAATGAAGTTTGATCTTGGGACATCTATCATTATGTATTATCAAGCCTATCATTTTCTCCATCAAAGAAAATACAGTCAGAAAATAGGAAGAGGAGCAGGGAGAGAACAATCCAACAACCTTCGATCCATCTACGCATCAATCGAGGCCGTTCTCCATTCTCTGTGTTCACCTCACAAGCACACACCATTTAATTTTTGCTTTTGCTTCTCATCATATTTTTAAACGTTCAATATCATTTAGTAACACTCTTTCTTCCTCCAGGAAACGTTGTGTCACAGGTGCCTTTTCCTTTCTCTATTACTTTTGGCAGTAGAAAGAGAATTTTTTCCTCCCTCCCATTGACCTTTACCTATCCCTAGCAAATTCATTGCTTTATGACAAGAGGTAACACGGTCATACGCAGATGCAATTTATCTTTGCGCACAGTTGGTCTGTGTGCATGTGTCTGTGCGGGCGTGCTTCTCTTCTATTGTTTGACTCCTTTTAACTCCACTCAGATCTCTCTAATCACAGTTTGGAATTCACCTGAATTTCCCTGCTGCGAGAGCTGAAAAAGCTGACATCAAGTTGCAAAGACCGCAGCTCTGAAAAGGAAATAGCACATCTTTATTGGTGGGATACATTAAAAGATACGAATGTGAGGTTTTTAAGTAAGATGCTGCATACATATAACCTCTACGTGCTTGACAGTGACATTGTCCCACATGTTGGCCATCTCCTCCATAATTAAAGAAATGCTTTGGAAGAGAATAGAACTGTTTGATTTTCACACTGAAACATTATTCTGGGAATTCAGAGCCCACAGCTTGCTAAGCCCAATCCAAAGCATGGAAATCGTTCATACAAATCTTTTCATGAGGCTGAGAGAGGGCTTGGCAATTCTAGTTTCATTCTTCTCTGAGGGAGAAAATTTAATTTCTTGTAATTTCTTATATATCCATTCGCAAGGTTAGTTTTTTTTTTTTTCTTAAAAAAGTTGCTATGGCAACAACCACCTATCACGGTGTTCCTCCTTGAGTACTTACAAATGCTGCTTGTTAACAAGTAGATCCCTAAGCCACATGAAGTCCAGGGAGAAACATCAGCTTATCAGTTGGAAAAGATTAACTAAATGGTTTAAGAGACAATTGTTTGAAATGGAAACAAAAGCTTGGATGCTTCCATCAGATGGGGCACTGCAGACACATCATGGCCGTCTCTCTACGAAAACACCAAGCAGACAATTCTACAGTGACCAGGTTTGGTGGGGCCTTGAGGAAGGTGGTGAGGAAGAAATGGGACTCAGGACATTCCCCAAAGAGAGCGTGAAACTCTGGTTTCTGATTGGAGCTCAGTGGCCGTGTGGTGTGGCACGCAGCATGACCCGGGGCAATGTCCATCTGAGGAGGGTGGTCTTGGGCCCGCCGCACTGTGCTCCTGGAGTCACAGTGGGTTCTGCCCAAGCACCTGGGAGTGTCTCCTCCTTTTTCCTGAGGGCACTTGGACCACAAAGCTGAGCCACTGGGTATGCAATCTGACCTACCTCAAAGGTCACCAGTAGCATTTGTACTGACATTATTACGGTCTATGAAGTGTTCCCGGGGCATAGAAGCCATCTGCAGAACCAAAAGAAGACTGTTCTTACACACTTCTCTCCCCTCTGTGATTCTCCTTCCCAGGCAGGAGGGGAGGCATCTGGTCTTCCTCTCCTGCCCAATCTCCACTCTCCACGATCAAGTGTTTGATACCTACGCATTGGCCAACCCTTCCTTCCATAATTGTATTGGCTTCAAGGAATAACTGGCAATACATTTCCAAGGCTTGATTTACTCATTGCTTTCCGTGGGATAAGGCATGTATCTGGCCTAATGGAAAGTGTCCTCTGAAAAAGCCAGAAAAGGGGAAGCCAAGAGCGAAAGCGTAAAAGCCACTGGGTCAACTGCTGAGAAGAAATGCTCAGCATTTCCCTCTGATTTCCCTCTGTGGGTCTGTCAGCAAAGGATCTGCCCTCTGCACTGGGGGCCCACTCTACGTTTGAGTCATGGAAAATCATAGAGCAATAGGCAGGAATGCAGAAATATGTTTGGCTTCATCTTTTATGAACAGTCTGAATTCAGTTTGCATTTTGCAGTGCAAAAACAAGCATAGTTTTTCTGGAAGATAAATGAGAGGGAGGAAGAAGAAGAGGAAAACCGAACACAATAGAAAAGTCTTTAAAAGAGAAAAAAAATAAAATAAAACCTTGTGGTTGTTTTCCTATTCAGGGACAAGCAAGGGATACTTACATTTAATCATGCTGTCCCAAGGAAAACATATTGTGCCAAAATTTACATGAGGAGGATTTCACTGTTCTGCATTGTTTTATTTCGGACCACCAGTTCCTTGGAGTTTGCATTTTCAATTTTTTTCTTCAAGTATCTATGCCCCTAGGCGGACAAATTAACTCATTTTATATTGAGGCTCTCATTACATCAAGTAAAAATCCTAAGCCTGATAAAATGATTTACCCTCTCAATTTAACTTTTATTTTAGTCTCCCACCAGCTTCCCTGACGTGGGTTTGTTGCCAAGCTATAATACTATTTTAGACTGAGTCATCCAGGCACACTGAACAGCTTTTACTCTGCCTGTAATGTTTCCCCAGCCCCATTGTTGGAATAGAGAGAACGTGTTCGATGGCTTTGCACTTGAAACAGTTACAAATGGCAGAAAAAAGAAAAAGTGGAGGCTTAAATCCAGGTGTTTGGCCCTGAGGGAACACAGATTCCCCTTTCTCCAGGCTCTTTGGGCCCCTAAAGGGGGACGGAGTACCCTTCTGTTGAGCCTTGAAATCACTGAAAATACAGGCACGCAGTTGTATACCTAAGTATACATTGCTTCCTTTCATCCTGGGGAGAAAATATTTGGAGTCACACAAGGAGGGTGTAGTTAGAGATACCCCCTGGAAAAATTAAAAATAAAAGATCAGGTGAAGTCTTGCTCTAAAGTTGACATACCATCACCACAGTCACAGGATTTTGAAAAATAATAATAAAAAAAAAAACAACATATCTTCTGCAGGAAATGCAGCCCATTTCTTGATTACGCATACTTTGCAACAGGGCAAAAGATACTCCAGATTGAGACAACTACCATAATTCTTGGTGAGCAATCAGCGTAGACACACCAGATTTTAACTTCTGTCAGATAACTTCTGTTTTATTGCACAGTTTACAATATACAGCAGGTAATTACATAACCAACCGTAAAGAAGAATATTGATTATTGAGACAAAAACATCAACTGTCTCCAACCACAAATGAAACAAAGACACACAAACCCGCCACCATATAAAGGTGTCACCATTTTATCCTAACCTGTTCAACTCCTGTTCCTTCTTACACCTTCCTCCTTCCCCACTGAGAACCCTCAGTATCAAATGAATTTGTACAAACCAAGGCCAAGTATCTCTGGTTTTGCAAGTCCCTTCACAGTGTTGGGTTTCTGTAGCTTGTGATCTCATATACTCACACCCTCCCTAGACTCCTACTGATCTCTATTGTTGGCTGTGTGGATGGGAAAACCCAAAATGTTTTTTTGGAAATAAAGCGGTAGCATCTAAAGTTCACCAAACGGAGAGGCCCCCACCATGGAAGGGAAACGTGAATACTGAAAAGTTTGACTGTCTCTCTACTTACTGGACTCCCCTGAGAGCTAGTTAAATGGCAGATTGGAGGTCCCTACCTAGGTGTCCTTGTCAGCAGAGGGATTCAGACCCCATCTGCTGAGCTACTGTGGCTAGGATTAAGTATACCTGGAATGTGGAATGAGCCAACAAACTCCAATCCCAACAGGGAGAGAAGTAAACAGGCATGGGGAGACAGGAAGAGGTAAGCGCCTGGGATTAACAAGACAGTGACCAGGATCTTCAGCAAAGCAGAGACAGAGAATGTGGAACATCATCAAAAACCCACAAGTTGTCAGAGTTATGTTTCTGCTGAGGTTCTGAATCAAGAAACCCAGGGGCAGGAGAGGACATTCATACTCACATGTTGGCCTAAGCCACAACTGGGAGTTTCATACAAAGAGGGTGGGAGGCAGAGAGGGGCATAGTAAATGTTTCGTAGTGTGAGGTAATTTTTTTTTTTTTAACTTCACCCAGCCTCCAAGTAATCTTGGCTTAGAAGTTAAATTAATTAAGTCAATTACATTGGCCAATATACGCCTCATTGGTTACCTCCTTTAGGGTCTGGTCGGTACGATCATTCAACAAACATTGAGTACCTATGTATCAGGCTCTGTCCCACACGTGTAAGATTTGGCTGTGAACAAATAGACAACATAGTCTCTTCCTTCACTGGAGTCTAGCGGGAGAGACTAACAATGGGTGAGTAAACAAAAAAGGTCAGGAAGTAATAAACGCTCTGAAGAAATGCAAAGCAAAGCAAGAGGAGAGAGTGCCTTGTGTTAAATAGGATGGTCAGGAAAGATTGTTCTGAGACCCTGATACGGGAGCAGATGCCTAAGTAAGAGAAGGAGTCAGAGGAGGGCACCTCCAACCATGCCAATTCCCAGGGTCGCAAGTTGGGCCACTGAGAGGTAGGATGGACCCGACATTCAGACCCTGGCTCTTGGCATCTATCTGAGCAGCACTTTTAGAAGGTCTTCTAGAATCTGGCTTTGATGAACCCACAGAGCTATCTCAGAAAATCATGCAAGCCAGACCCTGGGGCTGAGGATTCTCCTGAAGGCTGATACATTTCTTTCCCACTCTGACAAGTTTGAGGCCAGGAAGCCAGGTACCCACAGGGATTCTGATACAGCAACACAGGCAGCAAAGAAGCACCAGGCTTCTATAAATAACAGACACTTTCTCAGCTGGAGACAGGGCAGTGCTTTTTTGTCTCCCTTTACACTGCTGCATGAAGACTGAATAGTGCACTTCTGCCTGAAATTCTACCAGCTTTTTCTTCCAAGTCAGACCCTCAGTGAGTTATATGGCCCGCTGGATGGGTTCATGAAGGGAACTCGAGGAACTCTATGTTCACCTTCTGCGATGACAAGCCAGGGATGACAAAAACACTGTGGAAGGACCGTATTGTGGCACTGGGGATTCTGATTCAGTTGGCCTCCCTGTATGGCAGTGTGACTCAGTCAGCCTGTGGCACAATGTACCTTTTCTGTGTTCATATTCTACCCTGGTCTGACATCATGGCAAGTGGGAGGTCCTGGATTGCGTATGTAGTTTAGAGACAGGTTTTGTGCTCAACTGCTAAGCTTTTTGGTATTCAGCCACTGGGACATATGGAACCGAGCTCTTGGCATCTTTGCAGGATTGGGAGGAGGAAGGTGGGAAAATAAAACAGGTTTCCAAAGTGCTTTTACCAAACGAGTGATTCTTCTAGCTTGGACGTGCACTCCTAAGTGGAAATCAGTGCTGATTCATATATGTGGCAAGGAGAATGAAGGTTTCCATTTCCAGTGTATCAAGGGATCACTAAATAAAGGACATATTGAGTACGTATGAAAGGCAAAGTAGCCATAAGAAAGATACAGGGAAATTAAATACAGAGCCCATCAAAATAATAGTAACAAAACAAGGGCTAAGTTGCATTTTTTTTCTTTTTTTTAAAGTTTTATTTATTTATTTTTGAGAGAGAGAGAGAGAAAGAGCAAGCAAGCAGGGGAGGGACAGACAGAGAGGGAGAGAGAGAATCCCAAGCAAGCTCCACACCGTCAGCTCAGAGTCCAATGTGGGGCTTGATCTCTCGAGCCGTGAGATTATGACCTGAGTGGAAAGCAAGAGTTGACTACCTAACCGGCTAAGCCACCCAGGCGCCCCTGCATTTTGTTTTCATTTATTTACTTTTTAAAGTTTATTGATTTATTTTTGAGAGAGAGAGAGAGAGAGAGAGAAGGAGTCAGAGAGAGAGACAGCAAGCAGGGTGGGGGGCAGAGAGATAGGGAGATGCAGAGAATTCCAAGCAGGCCCTGCACTGCCAGCACAGAGCCCGACATGGGGACTAAACCCACGAACCATGACCTGAGCTGAGACCAAGAGTCGGTCCCTTAACTGACTGAGCCACCCAGGCGCCCTTGCATGTTCTTTTTAAAGAACAAAGGCAGTTAACCAGTAGTAATAACACATGGTGAATTGAATTGATGGTCATCACTTTAGGTATCTGAATGAATTGGACTGGCCCAGTAGGTTAAAGCCCAACATCTTTTCATAGGACTAAACAGAGACAATTCAAGATGAATGGAATTTTGACAAGTGGAAATGTGAGAGGACGGCATTCCAAGGGAAGAGAATCAGATGAGCAAATGTGGGAAGGTCAGGAAAATATATGGAAGCTGATAAGGCATGGGCACGGGACTAGCCTTGCCCTTCCATAATTGGTTTTGCCTTCAGAAAGTGACATGGCTTTGGACTCGTTGATGTTCTCAGCCCTGTCATGCAGCAGAAGTGTTGTCAGCAAGCTCTCATGCAGAAGAGAGGGCTTCTGGAGTACTGCCCTGAGAATGAAACGGGCAAGTAAGCAATCCCAAACATCTACCCCATCACTGCCTTGACAATACATCATTTTCCACTTAGATGAGACTAGGACAGTCTCCGAACAAAGACGTTCTGTAATCTGCTGAAAGCCTACCATAACCCAAGGAGGAAATACTTAAAAATCATATTTAAAGTTTTATCTATTTATTTTTGAGAGAAAGAGAGTGCGTGCATGAGCGCGCACACAAGGGGAAGCAGCGAGAGAGGGAGAGAGAGAGAGAGAGAGAGAGAGAGAGAGAGAGAGAGAGAGAGAATCCCAAGCAGGCTCTGCAGTGTGAGTGCAGAGCCCAATGTGCGGCTCCAAAAGGGGCTCGAACCCACAAACCGTGAGACCATGACCTGAGCCGAAGTTGGACGCTTAACTGACTGAGCCACCCAGGCGTCCCTTAAAGATCATATTTAATGGACAATGAGCAAACTTGTGGAATCAAGGAGCAATAGGAGGTATAATAACAAGCGTGGAAAGGACCTAAGGAATAATTTGGTCCAAGGCTCTGCCTTTGAACAGGGAACTCCAAACCATCCAGAGAGACTTCTCTTCTTAAATACATACAGATCAAAGACTTCCACAGTCTCCCTCGTTCTGGTAAGAAATAAACGCGATTGCTAAGAAAATGTCCTCTATCTAATTCAACCAACATGTGTTAAAGCCACAGTGACAAGTCACTGGGCTGGGCCACAGGGGACAGAAAATCGAGTTTTGTATGATGCCTGTGTTCGGGAGTTCGTGTTCCAGCAGAGGAGGTAAGCGTGTGCACAAGCAACTCTAACTGAAGCCCATGAGTGAGAAGGGCTTCACGAGAACGTGCCACACTAGCAGCTCCGGGAGCAACAGGTCTTCTTCATCTCTAAGTCCCTAGAGCTCAGGACAGTGCTCGGCATGTAGTAAATCCTCAACAAATGTTTGTGAAACGGAGAAGGGCGGACAGAAGGCTGAAGGAAGACACAAGAAGACGGGTTTACAATAATGGTGCTGGAGCCACTTGGAGGTCTAATTCTAATTTAAATCTTGAAGGGTGGGGAGGAACAAAATGTGTCAAGAAGTGAGCAGGCAAAGCTGTCTCTTACTTGCTCTTTGGTGGAATGAGTACTTCTGAGGTGTATCGTCAACGTAGTATTTCTACGTGATCAAAAGGAACAAAAAAGGGCCTTTCAGGATTTGTTTCCTGAAAGGTAAACACACCCTCCTCAACTGTGTCCTTTCTCATCATTTCATTCCGCGTGTCTGCCTTTTCTCTGAACCCTCCCATAGTTGCTCCACATTAAAATAATCATAAAACTCCTTATAACTCTGTTGACTCTTAAAGCTTGCAGAAATACTTCCTGTGGCCATTACAATATTCGATTTTGACAATAAACCTAGGAGGTGGGTCAAGAAAGTAATCGTATTCTGTCATAAAGAGGAAGGAAGGTATGGCATTGTGGCAGACGGAACAGGGGAACCCCAAAGATGCCCTAATGATAAGGACCTTGAATATGTTACCTTACGTGGTGAAAGGGACTTTGCAGGTGTGATCCACTAAGGATCTCGAGATGGGGAGATCATCCTAGATTATCCAGGTGGACTTGGTATAATCTCGGTGGTCCATGTCAGTGAATATGGGAGAATCAGATGCTACACCTGCTGGCTTTGAAGATGGACGGGAGCCATGAGCCGAGAGGCACGGGTAGCCTGTAGAAGCCTGGAGGACCAGGGAACGGATGCTACACTAGGACCTCCAGGAAGAACGCAGCCCTGCCGACACATTGATTTCAGTCCAGTGAGGCCCATTTTAGGCTTCCGGCCTCCAGAATTGCCGTGTGATAAATCTGTGTTTTAAATTTGAACCCAGCAGCTTGGCGGCAATTTGTCCAGGCAGTCACCAGAAATAATGCAGACATTGTCTGATACCTTGCTGGAGCGCTCACAGAGCCCATGGCTGTGAGAGCTGCATCTAGAACCCAGGCTGTGCCTCCACCTGGCCCTGTCTTTTTTGGAGCTAGCATATTTCCTCTGATTACTCTTCTTCCCCCCAACTCTCCCTTCTCCATCACAGCACCTTGCTTCCTTTAAACTACTTATGAGAATTTGTAATGATTTTATTTACTTGAGTAGTAGTTTTTGTATCTCTCCTTCCACCAGGATGCAAGCTTCACGAGAGGCCAGAGGCCCGAAATTTGTTCATCACGGAGTCCCTCAGTGATGGAAGATAGTAGGTGCTCAAGAAACGTCTGCTGGCAACAGGCATACTGGAAAAGGCTGAGAGCGTATGCCAACTGAATAGAACCACAGACGCTGAGGTGGTGGCCCAGTGTCCACCACAGACCTGAAGGGCCAGGAGTGGCCTGTACGTGCTTGGTTCCTTGCGAGTTGACATGAAAACCGTGGCATGGGTTGCGGTCCCTGAAGGCCCAAGCGGATCCCCTCACCCCCACCCCCTACCCTGAACTCTGGACGGATGCCAAAGCCCTAGTTCAGGTTGATCACGTACTGGCCATACTCTACCCCTTCATGCTCCACTTCAATAAGCCTGTCTCTCAGTCCCTTACGCACTTTGTTTCCACCCTGCATCTAATTGCTTTTGGATAATTATATCATTAACTCTTTGAAATGAATAATAAAAAATAAATCACATTCATGTAGGACTGCAGCGCAAGATGCCCAAGTGAGCAATTTTCAACTACGTATGTCTCCTCCTGACTCCTCTGGTCTTTGTCCTCATTCCTTTCCTCTCTCTGACCTTCTGCGTTAGAATCTCAGCCAAGTGTGGCCCAAGAATCTGTATTTTTAAGAGGGTCCCTGGGTAATTCTGATGATCAGGGAGGTTTGGAAACCACTGACCTAGAGGCTCAGGATCCTCAGAGACTAAAGAAGAAGCTGAAGAATGAAGTCAAACAAATTACAAAGATCCCTGTGTTTACTTAGTTCTTTCTTGCAAATTGCTCAAGGGATAGTGTCTTGCTTTCCTCAGTAATTCTAGGGCAAGTGCTGTGATTTTGAATCTGCAAAACGGGAAAAATGGCGCAAACAGAAGTCCCCCAGGCAGGTAGCCAGATTACCACTAATGAATAAGTATTCCTCTAAAGAAAGCCAGAGTCAGAAGGGAGTGAAGGACAATTTGGATGCTAATCCCAGTCCCAAGCCCATTTCTGGGAGGAGAGTAGAGCAAGAATGCTCCTGAAGCTGTTTCACTCTGGACCCTACAGAGCCCCTACACCAGCCTGCAGAGAATGCAAATCCTCTCCTTCGCCCCAGGATAGCCCGACTTCCTCGGAGGCTCCCAGATCATGAGAAAATTACCTCCACTTAAAATGGAAGCTAGTGTTCTCAGATCTTAGAAATGAGCACACTTCCAGGGATGTCAGGAACATTCATTATGGTTGTGTTTCCATTGATATGTACAAGATGGTCAATCCTTGTTCGGTTATAAATTGAACTGCCCGCTCTGGGGGAGGCCTTTAACACAAGTGGGCATGATACCCTATTGGCAAGAAGGAAAAGGAAAAGGCCCCAGAGTGTGTGTTATTAGCCGATGGCAAAAAGCATTTAGCAGACATGTCCTTTGGTGCAGTGCGCATAAACCCTCAATAAACATGTTCCAAAGAAGCATCATATTATTTTTCACTTTATTTCAAATCTAAATTTCAGCTTCCCAAACTGTTTCTTGTTAATCATAACAAACTCATCCAACGAGAACATACAATTGTTGTGACTAATGGGTTAGCGTCCTGGCGGCCTTCACATTACCACACGAGCCATTCTTTCTGGCAGCATTAAGAACGGAGAAGAGAAGACTACAAAGGAAGAGTTGGAGAACCAAGCCACTTGCAGTTCTGTGCCCATTCCCTATTCCTGTCTGCAACGATCTTAATTGCTTTGATAACTGACCTGGTATTAGTGCCCTGGAATGGCAGCACAGACATTTCTCTAGACGTGCGGATACAGCCATGCCTGGCCTCCCAATTTGCAGATGATCTCTCTAACGTAAGATCCTCTACTGAAGGGGAGAAAAACCTGTAGGTCTTTCTCAAGGTTTGGCTACGCAAAACTCTTCTGCCTTCTCCCCAAGTTGCAGAAAGTCAAGTCTACTTAAGAGCCCCACCTGGGTGGCTCAGTCGGTTTGGCGTCTGACTTCAGCTCAGGTTATGATTTCGTGGTTTGCAAGTTTGGGCCCTGCAATGGTCACTCTGCTGTCACAGCAGAGCCCACTTCAGATCCTCTGTCCCCCTCTTTCCCTGTCCCTCCCCTGCTTGCTCTCTCTCTCTCTCTCTCTCTCTGTCTCAAAAAGAAATAAACATAAAAATTTGTTTTAAATAAAAAAAAAATGTTTCTTTTTGAGAGAGACAGAGAACAGAGCATGAGTGGGGAAGGAGCAGAGAGAGAGGGAGACACAGAATCCGAAGCAGGCTCCAGGCTCTGAGCTGTCAGCACAGAGCCCCGTGTGGGGCTCGAACCCACGAACTGTGAGATCATGACCTGGGCTGAAGTCGGACGGCTTAAGCCACCCAGGCACCCCAAACATTAAATTTGTTTTTTAAAAAGAGCTGAACTGTGGATGGGTCTCTAGGAACAGCCATGAAGGGAGGGAAAGAAAATCAGGCATCAGACAAAGGAGGGTATTACCTAAGTAACAAAGGGAGGATGGAGGCAAATCTTTCAGGCAGGTGTGTGTGTGTGTGTGTGTGTGTGTGTGTGTGTGTGTGTGTGAATACATGTGGTTTTTTGTTTGTTTGTTTTTTGTTTTTCCAGAGAAAGTTTAAGTCATTCAATCATAAGAAATTCTATCTCCACTGCAGTAAACCATCACACCTGTAGGCTTTTATTTCTCACAGAGGACCCTGTAAAACCCAAGGCAGCAAATTGGAATTCTGTGTGGTTTAGAGGGAATGCAACCACAGATTCCAGCCAGGAGGGAAAAGATCAATTATCCCATTCTTTACATGCCCAGTCTCGTACTCAGAAAGCCCCGTGTAAGTGAAACGTGAGCCACAATCATGGCCAGGGCAGAGGAAACCTAAGCGCAAACCTGCATTATGCATAGCGAATGCCCTTTATGGTGTCGGTGCTGGAACAGCAGGTCTAATATCCACTTGCCTGATGGGCACGATGAGCAAGAATTTCTGACTCATGCCATTCCATCTGAGGGACCTGAGCTGACCCACGGGCGGGCTGAACCCATCTATTCAGACCCATTCGGTGCTGGGGGGAGCTAGGCTTCTACTCTTGGATATATTTGTGCACAGGACAATCAAGGAGGCGTTGAGTTCCAAGATGGTGAAATGCCCATCTCTGTCTCTCACATAATCGATTACTGCCTTCGCTGTTCTAAATATTTCCTCGCTCGATGCCGACCCCTCCATGATATCGCATGTGGTTGTTAGCAGCTCTCTAAAAGCAGGAACCATCAGATTTCCAAGAAGTGTCACTATCATTCACCTGGGTGAGGTGTGCCTGAGAGACGTTTGCAATCTTTTTACCTGGTAATCACACATCTGCCCATTGCTACACTTGGCTGAGTTCCTCCAGGTCAGGGAGTTGTCTGGTTGGTCACTGTGTCCCAGCACTTCACGTAGTGTCTGGCACCTGGTAAGAGCTCTAATGCTTGTTGATGACAGAGGCTGGCAATTTACCATTTGCTCTGGACATGTTTCAGAGTCCACATGCAACTGGTTTCGTGGCCACATGCAGGGCTCCCAAACATGCTGGGGGGACTTCTATCCTATAGAGGGGAGATGAATTCAGGTAGGACATGTTTAGATTCAGCTCTAAGGCAAAGCTTGTAACAGTCACTCAGGGTTCTCTCTGGAATCACCAGGTGCCCAGGTGGCAAATGGGGGCGGGGGGAAGGGGCCACTGTGGCCTTTATGAAGACGGGGACTATCTGAGCTGAGGGGCAGTGTGCAGAGATGAAGAAGGGAGGCAGAATGACAAAGGTTTCACAGGCAGGGATTTGAAGTCACCACAGGAAACAACATGATATAGAAATGACTGTCCCAATTCTGGGGGCCACCTACTCCCTCCCTCAAGGTTCTGCTTCCGCCAGCATCCCAGGGGGTGTTCATCTGCCCCTCTCTCCCACACACAGTCTTCCTGCCTTAGGTACTCTGCTAGGAACTGGGAGACCTGTCCCTGCCCTTGACCACTCACAGTGAGGCTGGCAAGAGCAGCATGTAAGGCAATCATGACACCATGTGCTCTGTGGTCTGAGCCCAGTGGGTGAGGCAGGAGAACCACCTGAGGAGGAGAAAGGAAAGAGTCTCAATCCTGGCTTTGTTATTATCTCTTAGCAAATCATCCCCAGGTTCCTCATGTGTACAAGGTCCATCACAACACCTACTGAGCCTAACTCAAACGGTTAAGTACCTTCAAAGGGATAAAATTCTATAGACACCAGTTCTTATCAACATCACCATGATTTTGTCTATTTAAAGTCAAACAGGGGCGCTTGGGTGGTTCAATCAGTTAAGCATCTGACACTTGATTTCAGCTCAGGTCATGATCTCACAGTTCATGGGTTCGAGCCCCACATCAGGCTCTACGCTGACAGTGCAGAGCCTGCTTGAGATTTTCTGTCTCTCTCTCTCTCTCTCTGTGCCCCTCCTCTGCTTCCTCTCTCTCTCTCTCTCTTTCTCCCTCTCTCTCCCTCTGTTTCTCTCTCAAAACTAAATAAACATTAAAGAAATAAAAGACAAAGTCAAACACATGCGTGTGTGAAAGAGAGAGAGAGAGAGGCTATACATGCATACATGTGCCCACATTTACTAACAGGACATGAGGGGGAAAGGAAGGAGGGTTATAGGCCACAGAAATATTTAGAAGAATAAATATGAAGTCAGAAATCAAACCCCAAACCTTCCAAGGTTTGCTAAAAGAAGCTGCTGTGTATTGGGCTCAGATGTAACTTCCTAGAGATATTCTCAAACCTGGGCTTCTATTGCCCCCTTGTTTCCTCCTATGCCATCCACTGCCTAAGAATGGATGTTGGCCACCTTCACTGCCACCTTGCCCCTAATTGGGATCCTTTATTACATATCACAGGAACCCCATTTCATTATTGTATGATGGCCTCTTGATAAAGCATTATCTGCTTATGGCCATTAAGCCACCACTTAGGAAGAAATGACATTGCTGGCTTTTCCTAAGGGGGTTAATGAGCTGCCCTTGAGTGACCTGAAAAGTTCATTATTTATACAGATTCCTCGCAGTGGAGACAGGGAAGTGAATAAACAGAGAGGAGAGATAGACACTGAGCAGAGACCGTTAATGGCTCTTGAAGCAGCAGCACTTTGCCTCACACACGGTGACCTCTAGGCTGTGAGGCCACGGGGCCACGCTGTAGAGAGACGGGGCAGAAGGACTTCCGGTCTCCGAGTCTCAGCATCTGGGGAGTTGTTAGGAGAAGGCACAGGGCAGGTAGGAAAGATGCGTGGCTGCTGGTGGTGGCAGGTTCTGACCCCGACTGGACCAGTGCCCGTTTTACTGAAAAGAAGGCCCTCACGTCTGCACATTCAGGCTCTCCAGGGCCTGGGCTGCATATGGGGGAGGGGTGCCAGGCAGGTTCCACTGTGTGCGTGCAGCATTGGTACACACATTACGAAATCCTAAATGAATCGGTACTGTCTGTTCTCTGTGTCATGAACAGTTGGTGTTATTTATGACCCCCAACAGCCCTTGACATGTTACTAATGGTGAAGTGAGAGGCAAGGAGTAAAGGTCCTTCAGTGAGAGAAGCATAAAATGAGGCCCTTAATCATCTCCTCTTTCCTTTCCTTGTCATACTCCAGAATGGCTTTTTTCTTGCACTCTATGAGGCCAGGCAACGATGGGAGTCTGGCCATGAGGCTGAAGAAGAAAAATAAGGGCTCAAAGCATTTTTCCAAGGATGGGTACGTGCTAGGAAGCAAGGGGCATAGGTTCTAGTCTGACTGCACCTGTAAGCAGAGGCCCACCGTGGTCTCCAGCTCACAGACTCCTCTGGCTTACATGTGAAGCAGGGGCTCAGACTTCAGGCAGAGCCCTTCACGGGACACCAGGAAAAACTTTCCTTCAGAGGGGAATGCTTCTAATGATATGCTGACTTGTGAGCCATTGGTGAGCATCTGTGGGGCGCAAGCTACTACACTAGGATGTCTGAGGGGTCCAGGCCATGACCCTGGGTCAGCACGGTGACAGATAAGCTGTATGGAAACAAAGGTAACATTTTGTGAGAGAAAGTGAAACCAGCCAAAGGAGTAGGAGAAAAAGTAAGTACTGGATCAGGGTTATTTTAATTGTTTTTAATTTTTTTTATGTTTGTTCGTTTATTTATTTAGAGAATCCCAAGCAGGTTTCACCCCGTCAGCATAGAGCCTGATGCAGGGCTCGATCTCACAACCCTAGGATCATGACCTGAGCCGAAATCAAGAGTCAGATGCTTAACCAGCTGAGCCACCCACGTGTCCCTGGATCAGGGTTATTTGAGACTGAGAATTAGAGAAGGCATCTGACAGTATGCTGTGCTTGAGTTAGACCTTGGAGGCTGGGAAGCAGTTTGAAGGTGGAGAGGAAACCAGTCCCTGTAGATTGGCTGGGGTACAAGATAAACCTGATCTACACATTCATTCATTCATTCGGCAGATATTGGCTGAGTGCTTGTCGTGTGCTGGGCACTGTGCCAAGCCCTCAGGACACAGTTGTGAAAGGCACAACACAGACACAGTCCCCACCCTTAGGGGGCTTACAGTCTCCCCGCAACAAGAATCAGATCGTAGCCAATGCTACAGCATGGGCACATATCCATGTGTCCCTGGAGGACAGGAGAAGTACCTGATTCTGATGAGGGTGATTAGGAAGAGCTTCCCAGAGGACAGGTCATTTGGGCTGAGCCAGAAGGATTCCAATATGGGAGACTAAGAGATCGGGAGCCCAGGGTGAGGAAGGGTACAAGCAAACTCGCAAAGAAATAAAAGTGCCAGGGATATGTGAGAATCAATGAGACTGGATTACGGGGTACGTGGTCCCTCTGCCACAGGATGAGGTTGGCAGAAGACAGACCAGGCCTTGAATGCCACATGGACATTGTACCGTGGAGCAGTGGGGAGCCACTGAGCAGGTGACTAAGCTTGATGATAGTGCATGCTGGGAAGGACATGGGGAAGCAAATGGTGGACAGAAGAGAAAGGCTTGAGCAGGAAGGCCAGTGCAGTGATTTCAAGCATGGTTGCTGTAGGCTGCCCAAGGGCAACAGCCTCCTAATCTCGCTGACTCAGTGTTTCCATCTGCAAATTGAGGAAATCACACCCACTGTTCCATGAAACCTTTTGTAAAGTTCACTTGAATGGAATAGAATACAGGTGTGCAGAATTACCCGCACAGTTACATGTGGTTTCTCTCCATCTGTTTAAAGTGGATGGGTGATTTGTTGAACGACACACAGGGAAATCATGCTAGCAGATTGGCCAGTATGTTAAGACTATAGCTTTCCCGCTTGGTGCCATTTCAATTATTGCTCAGTTAAGAGAAAGCCTTTTCTCTGGATTGAATGGTCCACTATTATTGGATTACTTATTAAAGAGGACTGATAGGTTGAAGCTGTTTTCACTTAGGGTTTGTATGACATGTTCATAACTGAAATGGAGAGTTGCCATAGTTACCTATGTGCGCTATTAAACAGAGCACAATCTCCACTAAAATCTCTCCATCAAGGTCAACTAGGCATTTTCAATCAGCGCCAAATAATTTGCTGCCTAATGGAAGTTAATGAAATTATTAGACGAGCAGAAGAAATTGAAAATAAAGTTAATATGGATAGATTTTATATTTAAATATAGTTTAGTGACCAGCCATTTCTTTGGGGTTCTTACCAGCTGGAAATTCTGCAATATAAGTGGACATCTGGAGGGAAGTTTAGAGTAAAAACACATTTGGATTTTGGCACAGATTACTGCCTTCGAATCCAGCCCATCATTAACAGCTTCTGTACAGTATTGTTCTTCCTCTAGGGGCTATAAAAATGAACCAAACCTTTGTTCAACCTAAACTTCCTTTCTTGGTCAGCCATTCCTGCTGACTTTGCCTCCAGAGCGACCCTGTTGTTTCCACTGGAAACGTCAGGATGGAGAAGAATACCGGCTGCTTGCTTTATAAGTAGCAAGTTCTATTCCCCTAGACCAAGAGGAGGAAAAGGCACATAATTACATGACATAATCTTCAGTGCTTCTCAGGCTTTGATGTGGATACAAGTCACCTGGAGGTCTTGCCAGCCTGCATATTCTCATTCAGCATGTGTGCGGTGGGGCTTGAGATTTTGTGTTTCTAAAGAGCTCCCAGGTGATACCAGTGCTGCTGGGCCACAGATCATACCTTGAGTAGTAAGATCCAGTGTTTTTCACCTGCTTATTGGAATCATCCTATGTATCAACTCTAACGTGCTGTCACACACCATCTTCTTGTTTGACATGTAGATGATCTGACGCTCACATAGCTGTTAGAGTTGGCTGACACAAAGATGTTATATTCATCAGGCCCATAGGCCTGGTGCTCCCAGCCCTCTCCAATACCTTCGGTAGGAACGTGGCTTCAACCGACAATTACCACACAGCATCTGACCAGACAAATAATAAACAAGTAAATAACTCAAATGTGGAGTTAATGCCATGTCTTCATCCCAGGGCAAAATAGCATTAGATTGATCTTTCCTCTTTAACAATGAATGAAGCACGAATCAAAAATAAATCAGTCTGCTCAGGGCAAACCAGAATTCTACTGACATGCGACATTGACAAAAAACATATAGAGTAAGCATGACTTCCGAAGTTATTTATTTAAAACACGAAGCCTCCTTCTTGTATGGTGCAAGCTGATACTTTACATTGTAGTCTATTTTTTTAGGACATCCCATTGTTGGGATTTCTTTTTTGGTGGAGTGATGTGCTGAACATTATCTAGACTAACCATCTCCATGGTACAACTACACTAAACAGTGTTTAATTCAAGATTTACCAATAATCATACTTGAAAAAAGAGTGTGTAGGACAACCGCTATGTTAGGATTAGAGATTTACACTACTCTCTGCTAGCCTGTAAAATGGATCCCCCCCCCCCCCCCATACACAGTCAGTTGATTCAATTCCCACTTACCCTTTCCAAAAACACATTCTCAAAAGGAGTAAAGAGAAGTCTCTTCATTCTAGACCAGTGGTCCTTAAACTTTAGAAGACATCAATATCACCCAAAGGGCTTTGTAAAAAGAGTTCTGGGCCTCACCCCCAGCATTTCTGATTTAGTGTCTGGGGTGGGGCCTCAGAATTTGCTTCTCCCACAAGTTTTCAGGTGCTACTGTGCTGCTGGTAGACACTTTGAGAACCACTGTTCTAGATCATTAGATCCCCTCCTTAGTTGTATATTAGAATCATCTAGGGGAACTTTTGAAAATCCTAACATATGTGTTGCTACCCAGATAAAAGAAACTAAGATCTCTGGGGGTGGGCCCCAGCTATCAGCAATTTTCAAAGCTCCCCAGACGGTTCAAGTGATTAGCCAAGGCAAAGAACTACTCGGTGTAATGGATGCTATCTTCTTGCCACTGAGGAGTACAAAGTGATTATCTCAGGCTCATAATATCCCAGATAGTTTATAATGATTCCAAGAGCATAACTGAGCAAAATAATGGGCAGATAAAAGGTCTTACGGTTATAGAAGATGTAAGCTTGAGGAACATGGCAAATTTGGACTATCTGGACTCCAGACAGGAGGAGGCTGGCTGCCAGTTCTCCTGTGCAGGGCTTCTGATGCGGAAGGGTAAACCAGAGGAGCCACCTACATGACTAAGCACAGAACCTTTTTTTTTTTTTAAAAAAGAGGACTTCCAACAGAATGTCATTTTTCTAGTGAAGTCATAATATGGTTCAGAAACCCAAGAGGGATATGTGACACTTTTTTCTTCTTCCTCACTCAACAGCTTTCTCTACTTCATGCCTCATCACAATCTTACATTTGGCAAGAAGTTAGAGAGGGGAAAGTAAGAAGATCCCCAAATGCTCTAAGTTTGCCAAGCCATGATATGTACCATGGCTTGCTGTTTTCATCTTGGAGAAAGGATCCAATCCAGGGACATGAAAAATGAAGTAAGATCTGTAACTTGGATTTTAGTAGCATTTAGGAATAATTTGCTGAGGTTAGAAATCTGCCATCCCTCCATTCATGGCTTGAGATCACTCTATGAGGGAAAAGAATCTTAAGGTTCTTTAACACTAAAATGCTTGTGACTTCTACCCAGTGTCTTACACAAATCATTAGGATCACTCAAAACAGGGCTACTCTCTTTTTGATGTTAGAAATATTTATTAAATACCTATACCATAGTAGGTATGGAATGGATAAAAAGGTAGAACAGTCTCTTTAACTAGGAGTAGAAAACAAAAACACAGATTCCATAACAGAGACAAAGATACCTGAAAGCAGGAGTCAGCAGAACTAGCAGAAAGACGTAGAACTACTTCAGAATAAACAGCCTTGAAGATGGGTCTTGGAGAATGGGTAAAATTTCAGCAAAGCAGAGATGAAAAGATTCCTGACACTCCCGGGAAAGAGAGCAGCGTAAGTAAATGCAAAGAATAATAAAAGGCTTCGTCTATCTAGAAGTCATAACAAGTGTAAACATATACACACTTAAAAAACAGACTCAAAATACAAAAAGGAAAAACTGACATAAGGGTGAAACAGACAGCCCGATGACAGCAGTTTGAAACTTCACTACCCCACTTTCAATAAAGGACAGACTAACTGAACAGATGATCAACAAGGGAACAGAAGACTTGAACAACACTGGAAACCAACTAAACCTAAGTGATGTATACAGAACCCTCTAGTCAACAG